AATTTCTTGGCAGAGATGAGTGAGTGGCTCCTGTGCTGCCTCACTTTCTTGAAAGATTTTTATTCCATCAATTCTTGGTGTCTTGTTCTTTGCCAATTCCTTCAATGCACCTTTGACATCCTCCTTCAGTATCATTGGCTCTTGATCATATGTTACCTCTTGAAACGGTTGAACATGAACCATTTCGTTTTGGTACAGTGACTCTGTGTATTCCTTCTATCTTCTCTTGATAATTTCTGCATCATTCAATAATTTGCTCAGAGAATCTTTCAATAACAAAAATTGAGGCTTGAATTTTTTCTTCAGTTCTCCCAGTTTGAGAAGTGCTGAGTGTGTTCTTCCTTTTTTGTTTTTTGATTCCTGATCTTTGCACATTTTGTTATAATATTTGAATTTATCTTCTCAAGTCGATCTTTGAAATTTTCTGTTCAGCTCTTGTACCTCCTCTTTTTGTCCATTTGCTTTAGCATGTCTATACTGGAGAACAAGTTTCAGTGTATCTTCTGACATCCATTTTGACCTTTTCTTTCTTTCTTGTCTTCTTAATGACTTTTTGCTTTCTTCATGTATGATGTTCTTGATGTCAGCCCACAACCCTTCTTGTCTTTGGTCTTTAGTGTTTAATGTATGAAATCTGTTCTCCAGATGATCTCTAAATTCAGGTGGAATGTATTCAAGGTCATATTTTGGCTCTCATGGACTTGTTTTCATTTTCTTCAGCTTTAGTTTGAATTTGCATATGAGTAATTGATGGTCTGTTCTACAGTCTGTCCCTGGCCTTGTTTTCACTGATGATATTGAACTTTTCCATTGTCTCTTTCTGCAGATGTAGTCAATTTGATTTCTATGTTTTCCATCTGGTGAGGTCCATGTGTATAGTCGTCTCTTATGTTGTCTAAAGAAGGTATTTGAATTGAACAAATCATTGATTCTGCAGAATTCTGTCATGTGATCTCCATCATCATTTCTATCACCAAGGCCATATTTTCCAACTACTGATCCTTCCTTTTTGCTCCCAACCTTTGCATTCCAATCACCAATAATGATCAATACGTCTTGACTGCATGTTTGATCAATTTCAGATGGAAGAAGTTCATAGAATTCTTCTATTTCCTCCACACTGACTTTAGTGGTTGGTGCATAAATTTGAATAATATTGGTATCAACAGGGCTTCCCTGTAGGCGCATGGATATTATCCTCTCACAGACACGTTGTACCTCATGACTGATCTGGATATGTTGTTTTTGACAATGAATGCAAGACCATTCCTCTTCAATTTCATTCCCTGCATAGTAAACCATGTGATTGTCAAATGCAAAATGGCCAATACAAGTCCATTTCAGCTCACTAATGCCTAAGATATTGATGCTTATGTATTCCATTTCATTTTTGAGAACTTTCAATTTTCCCAGATTCATAGTTCGTACATTCCATGTTCTGATTTTCAGTGGATGTTACAGCTATTTCTCTTCCTTTTGAGTTGTGCCCCATCAGCAACTGAAGTTCCCACAGGCTTTTCTTCCATGGGCTTTACTCCATTTGTGTCATCATGGTCAACTGTATTTTGCGGAGGCAGCTCTTCCCCACTTGCATCTTGAGTGCCTTCCAACCTGAGTGGCTCTTTTTTTGGCATTATATCTGACAGTGTTTCTCTGCTATTCATAAGGTTTTCAGTGAATAAATATTCAACATTAGTTTGTCATTCTTTCTTCCTAGTCTGTCTTCATCTGGAAGCTCAGCTGAAATGTGTCTACCATGAGTGACCCTGCTGGTATTTAAAATACTGGTGGCATAGTTTTCAGAATCCCAGCAACTCACAAGCCTCCACAGTACGACAAACTGACAGACGAGTGGTATTAATGTGGTATTGGAGAAGAATATTAAAATATCAACTGCTAGAACAAACAAATCTGTCTTGGAAGCCGTAAAACCAGAATGATCCTTCGAAGCCAAGATGGCAAGATTCGTCTCTCATATTTCAGACATGTTATCAGGAGGGATCAATCCTAGAAGAGGACATCATGTTTGGTAAAGTAGAGATTCAGAGTAAAGAGATACACTGATACAATGACAGCAACACTGGGCTCAAGCATATCAACAATTGTGAGGATGGAGCAGATTGGGCAGTGTCTCTCAGTTGTGCATAGGGTCACTATGAGTAGGAACTGATTCAACAGCCCTTAAAAATATGAATAATAAACTGGATCTATAATCTAAAGTGAGGAGTCCTGATGGTGTTATGGGTTAGGTGTTGGACTTTGAACAAGATGGTCACAAGTTCAAACCCATCAGCTGCTCCAAGGAGGGAAGATGAGGCTGTTTGTTCCTATAATGATTTATAGTCTCAGAAACTATACAGGGTCACTATGAATTGGGATCGACTTGATGTCAGCAGAAAAAAAAAAAAAGAAAGAAAATATTCTGTAGAGGTCCTTGGGAGGCACAGTCAAGTGCTAGACTAGTAGCCCTAAAGGTTAAGGTGTCTTTCCTTCTAAAATGTCATAGTCACTCTGTCACACACAGGGTCCCAAGACTCAGATTGAATTTGACTTTACAGTTGATGTTTTGGTGTTTTGTTTTGTTTTGTTTCTGTATTCTATAGTACAGATTAGAGTCTGTTAAGTAAAATAAAACAGTGTCAAAAACAGACTTAAATTCTTCTCAGTGAGTTATTTTTATTGAAAAGATATTTTTTAAAAAACCACACAAAACAGAACACAAACAAGGTCCCCATCCGTCCCCTGAAGCAATCCATTATCACTTAGAATTAATTTTAGAAATATATTTTAATTTAGACTTCTGATTGTGTTAATTTGAGGAGTTTTTTCAGAGCCTCTTTTACATCTTTATTCCTCAGACTGTAGATCATGGGATTCAACATGGGAAAGACCACAGTATAAAATGTAGAGACAATTTTGTCCCTCTCAAGGGAATAGCTGGAGCTAGGTCGAGAGTAAATGTAGAGAATAGAACCATAATATAATGTGACAGAGATCAAGTGGGAGGAGCAGGTTGAGAAGGCTTTGAGGCGGCCCTGGGTGGAGCGGATCCTCAAGATGGCAGCGATGATGAAGAGGTAGGAGGCAAGTATGAGCACAGTGGGGGTGATGACATTGGAGGCCAGGAGGAAGTACAGCACCGTTTGATAGCTTGCTTTCACATCACATGCCAACTTCACCAGCGGAGGGACATCACAGAAAAAGTCATCAATGACATTGTCACCACAAAAATCCAATGTGAATGTGTTGCTGGTGAGTATTACTGCATTAACAAAACCTCCAGTGTAGGAATATATAATCAAAGAGATGCATAGTCTTTTTGACATGACCTGTACATAAAGCAAGGGATTGGATATGGCCACATAGCGGTCATAAGCCATGGCTGCCAATAAATAGCACTCAGTATATGCCAGGCCAGCAGAGAAGAAGAACTGAGCTACACAACCAGCAAATGAAATGCTTTTGTCCTCAGAGATACAGGTCACTAGGATCTTTGGGGTGTACACAGAAGAATACCAAAGGTCCAGGAATGATAGATTGCCAATGAAAAAATACATGGGTGTGTGGAGCTGGGAGTCATTACAAATCAGCACTATAAGCAGGGTATTTCCCATGACAGTCATGGAGTACACGCCAAGGAACACCACAAATAGGACCAACTGCATCACTGGGTCTGTTGTGAAACCCACCAGTAGGAACTCAGTCACGGTGTGATTACCCCTGTCCATGGTGAAAGGACACCTGACCTACAAAAGGAGTGGAGAAGAGTTCAATTTCCTTCATTGAATGCATTCTATGTAAAAGGTACATGAGATGTGGTCAAGACTAAAGATATTAAAAGGAATTCTACTTGAGAATTTTTTATGGGAGTTCTTCAAGTCTCAATATGTTCATTTTAGTGAAATGCATTCATTTTCAGTATGCTGGAGAGCAACAATGATTATGGGAGTTCTTTTTTTCAAACAATTATTTGAACCCCAAGTCCTGTTCTAGGGTTCAGTACATTATTTATTTTTAATGTTTTATTGTGAATTATGGGATAGTTTACATGGGAGAACATTAGTTTTACATTTATCCTATCTTATGTAGTTTCATTACCATGGTTACAATCCCTTCCATTCATCATCAACCAACCAAAGGGTAAACATTAGAAGCCTGCCTTCCGGTCGTCAGTACACAGCCCCTCTTCCTCTCTGTGTCTAAAGTCCCCAGCTGTTCCATCTCTTCACATCATCGTCTCTGCCTCCATCTCAGTCATCACTGCTTCTCTGGGGAGGGTCCCACTCTCCGCTCTTCTCCCTTGATGGTCGCAGGGACCTCCACTCCTAGACTGAAAAGTTAATCACTCCCCTCCTTGCTACAAAACATCTACCTTTACATTTCCAATCCTCACAATCAGTCCTGATAACAATTATTCACTATTGTATCACAAGAGACCTATCCGCTTTACATTTCATCAGCCCCGCCTAGACAGATTGTATACTACTCAGTGGAGATTCTACCTTCCTTCACACCCTCTGGATCTCGGGTCCCTCTTGAAAGCTTGTAAGCCAGTCACTTCTTGCCTTTGTAGCCACACTCCCCCTCATTTTGGGTACTCAGTGTCCAAGTTGCCCATCCCTGTCTACTCTGTGTATGGAGGGGGTGGGAATGATCCTTGTTGTAAAGATTTATTCCCTTTTTTGAGCTACTGCATCCATAGGTGTACTGTCATTTATTTTTATGGAACATTTGCTCTATAGGGGAACTGCAGGTAAAAATAAAGTATGGAAATGTTTTTAGAAAACGGTAAATGTTATTAAAAAATAAAAGTCAATGAGGGGATAAAAACAAACTGGGAGAAAAGCTAATTTAATTTAGACATCAAAGAAAGCCCTCCCTTCCTTTATTTTCCAGTTAGGAATGGACAAGTTGTTCAGATCCTAACAAAGTTTACAGAATGAAGGTATTATCTTTTTCTGCAAATATAAAGTTTTCCTCCATCTACACTAAAGCAGTCTTTTGGTGTAATTATCATAAATCCTAAGTGTGAGGACCAGACTTAGAATTATGTTGGGATTGCCCAGTGGAGATAATTGACATAACACATCTGAATATGCCAAGTAATCAAATGTGATGTCATTGTATGCTGCTCACATTCTAAAAGCCTAGAATTATGCATTGTTTAAATGATTAAACATTGGCATTTGGCACTATTCTCTCTCTCTCTC